ARKKGKTTTTWWWAAWWAMYWWTTTWAWTTTTTCYGTGAAAACGTGAAAAGTTTAGAAACAAAATCCACAATTCAAGCACCAGAACAAATTTTCGTGACTTTCTAGCCGTGTTCAGTAATTTTCAACGATTTCTCAGTAAACAGTTTCTCGCATACATCTATTTGAATACTCGCAAAGAAGAAGCAAAAGAAAAAGAAAAAGAAAAAAAGACAGTTTTAGCAGACATTAAAAAAATGCGAGGACTACAATTTCCATCATGCTTTGTTGCGCAAAATGGCGTCGCAGTACATTGTCTATAGACTTCTGAACCTTTTACGTCACCACTTGGTTTGAAATGGATTGTGGTATCGTTTTCTAGAGAAAACAAAAGAAATCTGCCATGTTTTGTCCCAAGCATATCCTACAATKCATTGCGAATACGGTACATGACGTAAAAGGTCTATTGTAGACTCCTCTGCAGGCATCACTAAGAATCACGGGCTTCCTGTCTTTTTTGTTGTCAAAAGAGGGAGAATGAGGGTAAGAGAGGTCACTCGTCACTAGTCCCTAGCGGCCAAGATGACCGTTAAAAAGGAAGCCCAAAGGAGGAAAAAAGAGTTGCCTTGTGAGGAGGCTAAGTCTATCGCCCGTTTGATATGAAACCTTTCTTTTTACTTACTCGTTTTACAGATCCACGGCAAATGGGACCAAGAATTGGTTGATGACGTTTGTGCGTGGATCACAGAACACACGGGAGACTCATTCAAACATGGCGACAAAGACGAGTTTGCAGCGTCTCTCAAGAATGGAGTTACACTTTGCAAGTAATTTTACTATCGYATCATGCGAATGAAGCTTTTACGTCACCTGAAATGCATTGTGGGATCGCTTTCTTGAGAAAACAAAAGAAATCCGCCATGTTTTSCCTCAAAAATATCCTAAAATGCATTGCGCACATGGTATATATGACGTAAAAGCTTCACAGAGTTCTATACACGACTTTTATAATGGCCGACACTAATTAGCATATTATCACTCAATTAATAATGTTGACAAATAAAAACACTCAAATGGTAGATATCAAAGCTAAAGATAAACTCTGAAAGTTTCACAGAAAAGTATTAAATCCTCTTTAAGTTATAAGGGTTAGAAGAGGTACGAAAACAMTAAAACGAGGCTACCAACTCACTAGCAAAGAATTCCATACAAATCCCTGTATTTTTGTTCCTCCATAACTTAAGTATTTAGTCCATGACTTCAAAACTTTACATGAATACCTATATCTAATAGTTCTTCCATATGACAGTGTTGAATGTTTCCATAATACTATAAATTGTATAAAATCGATGGTAGGCACAAATGGTCTATAGGCATTTAGTCTATTGATTTGAGAGAAATTTTCGGTTTGGAAAAAGGATAACTAAGGTCATGCTCGATTTTCTGCGTCGCGCGTTCACCTTTCTCACTGAGCGTTAGTGTTGAAAGGGACACGTTGTTTGAAATAAAAATACATCGTAATATAAGCAAAACCTTACTCTTTATTATCCCTTTATACTATATAAATGGAAATATTGTAAAATTCGACCTTGAAACCGATGGATGGAAACGGATTTCGAATGGATATTCGAAGTCATCTCATTTTACATATATGAAAAATCTAAAACACGACCGCATTGAATGCTGATGGACTATGGCCCTTTAACTTGCACTCTTTAGTATTTTGATATTGTCAAAATCGAAACAAGGTGGCATTTTTTATACTTTCAGGCTGGCTAATCGAATAMAACCGGGATCCATTAAGAAGCCCAACAACAATCCTGGAAAAATGAGCTTTAAAATGGTAATTATCATAATAAGATCATTCTTAAAAAATGAATTCTCATTCCGAACAGCCATTCTATGTAATATGTTTTTTTAATCTTTAAAGTGTGGGATTTTTATTACCTTACTCGTACTGATATTTGAGTGAGCTCATTAAACCCGTGAAACAAACATTGAAAGTGATAGTCAAATAGACACAAAAGAAAACAATGCAATTAGAGAGTACTAAGGTGTATTAGTGTACTACCTATTTCACGGCTTTTCTGACTTTAGTCTAAGCCCGTGAAACAAAACTCGACTATTAAGTAATGGTCCGAGTAAGAAGCAGGCAAGCAAGCGGCAATGGAATGCATGAAGGTGCTAATTGTGTATTGTATAATCCATCCATCTCATTGGTTACAACATTAAAATCTGACATGATTTCAAAA